AAGTGGTGAGAAAATAAAATGCAGAGTCTCACAATGGCTGTTCCTATGAGTGAGTATGAGTGTGAGATGAGGCCTTGGAGTTGTTGGAGTTACTGCAGGATGTTAAATGCAGAGCATCCCAATTGCTGTTCCTTTATAACATCCCTTTTGGTTAAAGGGTTACTCTAACCATGATAACCACCACAGCTCGCTGTAATTGTTATGATGTCAGCCCGGTTTCCCACTAATGGGGCAAAACTTTTAGAAAATGGTTTGCCTCCTCATTTAGGTTTCCTCTAGGCTCTAGTGCTCCCTGGTGACGGATAACACCCCTTATGTCGATGCTGGAGGTGGAGTTACAAAGTCGGCAGCAGATGGATAAGCCTCTGTTTGTGCAGCGTTTCAAAGCTGCACACTGCACATACAGACTCCAGGCACCATAACCACTTCAAATCAGTAAAATGCTCATGGTGGTTGGAGTAACACTTTGAGAAGGTTGTTTTCAGCATATGAAAACATCTGAATAGGTTTGGCTGCGCACTGATAGTGGATATAATTTTAAAATTCAAACTAAATATTTCCTTTCCAATTCTTAGAGGCACAAATTTGCCACAAGCTAGTTTTATAACAAAAACATTTGAAATCACAAAAAAAAATCTTATATGTTCCTGATGTTCTCATTAAACTTAACTTTAAAAATCTGTCCTGTAATTAATAATGAGATACTAACTAGTGTATATTTTTTTATTTGTTTTAAGTAGTTTTTTTAAGTACAATTATTTGTATTTTTATTTATTACCTATTTATTTTACATTTGTATTACTTTAATTTGATACGCCTTATCTATATTAACTTATTATACATTTCAATGGAATTTTTAATATTAATAAAATGGATGGATCCCATAATGTTCTTTTATCTCATTTAAAGAAAAATCTGTTCATGTTTATATTGTTATCCTTTTTAATGTTACTGTTAATTCAACAAAACTCTTCAATAGAAATATTTGAAAAGAAAGTTCAATAAAAAAAAGATGTTACACATAACAAAATAAAATTATAAAACTAAAATGAAACAGGCAAATTAAAATATCCATATATAGTCCAAAGTAGAAAGATTACTAATTGACTACTGATAGAGAAATTAATTAACTAGCATAATAAATAACCAAAGAACTGAAGTGGAGTAGCAGGTAGAACACAGAAACTAACAAAAAATTTAAAGAATTAGAATCACACAAAAAAAAAAGGGCAGTGAAAACCATAGAATCTAAGGAGAAAGGACAAGGAAAGACTGATGTATGAAAAATCAGCAAGTGCAAAAAGAAAATGGAGATTGTAGAAAGAAAAAAGTAATTCAACAAATAAGTCATATAAAACATTTTAAAAAAATAATGAAATTAATTAAAAAAAAAACAAAAAACAGATAAATGTGAGGATTATGGGATCAAGAGTCAGCCAGTGGTCCTGGCGTCTCAGATAGTAAGTGATCCACATAGAAAAACTTGCATCTAAACTTTATCCAAAACTAGGTGCCCTGTACAGAAACAAATCCTGCCTAAGCCCTACAGTAAAGGAAAAGATTGTACAGCAAATGCGGATGCCAATCATTGATTATGGGGATGTGGTCTATGCATCTGCATTGCAATCCCACATTAATAAACTCAACACATTGTATAACTCGTTCTGCCGATTTGTGCTACAATGTAATTACAGGACCCACCATTGTAACATACTAAAAGAACTAAACTGGCTGTCGCTGGAATCCAGACGCACCCTTCATCTTTCCAGCCTTGTGTTTAAGAGTTTTTCTGGGAAGCTCCCTCCCTACCTGAGCAGAATGTTCTCATCAGCTGTTCCCACCTCCTATAACCTCTGATCCAGTACAAGCACTTTACTTAGTCTACTTCAATACAAAAAGAAAGCGGCTCGATCCTCCTTTTCCTATAGAGCGCTGCAATTATGGAACGACCTTCTGCACACTTTCAAATCTTCCCCGGGCCTAAAATCCTTTAAGAGATCCCTCTCTACATACCTCAAAACAGAATGCACCTGTCATGGTTGATTATATATTTCCTACCTACATTTTGTATATATTGTGTATTAATATTGTTTTTGTATTTTATTGTACCCTATTGTATCAATGCAATGTTATGTGGACCCAGGACATACTTGAAAACGAAAGAAATCTCAATGTATCCTTCCTGGTAAAATATTTTATAAATAAATAGCACCCCACAGACATACTACTGCCTATATAGCCATTCATGATACATAGCAACCAATCAAAGCACAGCAGCTATGCTATATTGCTGCAAAGAGTACAATCTACACATTTTTGACGCAAACGTAATTGACAAAACATCTCAAGGTACTATATACCCTAAATCGCAATTGTAACACCAGTGATAATTTTACTATGTAAAATTTATACGTAAAGTCCAAAACACATCTGAATGGATTGTTTTGGTATAGCTAATCTTCTTCTGTTCTCTTCTAAATACACTTCTGCAGACATAGCTTTAAGATAAATATGGATAGCAATGATGATCTAAATAAAGGAACAACGCATGAGTAAATTATGTAGATAGAACTTTGCTATCTCTATTTGTATTATATCAATAGCTGAACTGGGTGTACTGATTTCACCTTTGGAGAATGACTCTGTATTAGTTTGAGAATTTGGTAGAGGTCCATATACAGTCCCCATTAAGTTTTTTTTTTTTTTTTTTAATTCTTTGATATGAAAAGGTTGTACTTTTGATGTTTGGGTTTACAAATTAATAAAACAGGTCATTCTCAATGTCTTATTCTGAGTCCTGATTTAATTTTTTTTAAAAAGATATCAATATAAGCAATAATTAGATTTTCAATATGAGTTCGCTGCCCTGAGCATTATACATGGCTAATGATGATGGAGTTTGTAATGTAATGAAGCATTTTACCATCATTAAAAACAAATAAACACTGGGCTTGCACTGCAGTTTTGCTTTAAGCTATATTCTAAATGTTTTTTATTTTTCTAGAAATGTAGAATGTTCCAGCTACATACTTACCATGTAGGAGATATATGTTTCCTGAGAGTAACATATAATATGTTATGTGTGGGCTAAGAAAGATGTCTTACATTACTACTTAAGCACGTAAAGCAGTACTGTAACTTTGTTGGTTGTTACCATTTAGTCCTTTTTTTAAAGTTATTTATAAGAAAATGTAAGCACTAAGTTTCATTCAGTTTCACAAACAATCAGTCAAAAAACTCCCACAGAAGGGTAGAACAACCCAGGTATTGAGATCCAGCTCAAAGGAGAAAAGATAATAAAAATAAATAAAGGCACGTGCAAGGGGGTTATAATCATTAAAGGAACACCATAAGGTTAGAAATACAAAACTGTGTCCCACTGCCTCTGTCCTCCACCACCCGCCGCCCCAGTGTTGAAATGGTTAGAAACATTTTTTCCCACTCACGTGTTTCCAGATCTATCTCCTCCTCCAGAGATATCACGCCAATGGGGAAACCTAATTCACATGTGTGGCAGACCTTCCCCATTTGAAAGCATTGAATCTATTTTTTCCTAACAGGATTTTAAAGACGTCCTCATGCTCAGTGTGAGGAAGTCCAACCTCGTTTCATGGAGTTAAACTCAGTGTAAATGCAGGAATTGCTTCTGTTGGCTGTCTGGAAGACAGCCGCTAGAGTTAGTCTTAACACAGCAATGTTTTACATTGCAGGGGTTAAGGGGACAGGGGCATTGCACCCAGACCACTTCAATTAGATGAAGTGGTCTTGGTGCTTATAGTGTCACTTTAAGATACAAGTGCATGAGGAAAGAAAAATGTACATATTGTACATAGGTGTCTTCATTAATACCATAACTCCTTCCCACAGGTATGTTATTCATCCATGCCTACCACAGAGTCCTTATATCACAAAGTAATTAGTGAGCACAGCAGAAACATATTGAAAACAAAAAAAATTAAAGATTATTGAAGCCAAAGAAAATTAAAGACACAGAGAGTAAGAGCACCGAGGGATCCTAATCACTGCTATGTGTTTGTGTGTTTTGTCTCATATTTCTAGGCAATATAGGAAATACATACAAAGTTTAATTAGTTGTAATTAGAAGAAATCTAAGGGAATATAAACACAAATAATATTACACATATTTTGAAAAAAAACAACAAAAAACAGATTGTATCCCTTAAAAAAAAAGTTGATATAAATTCAATATGTACAAAGAATAGCATAAATGCCAGAACTAATTAGAAGATATACTCCAAGGGAAACTCTTAATCACAAAAGCTGAATTTCCAACTTCTCCATATATGCCAATAGGGTACAAATATGCTTCGTTTTTTTTTTTTTGCTTTGTTTAGTTTTTATTATTGTTGCAGGAATACTTAAACTTAAATGAGTTCCATGAGTTCCTGATAGAACACAATATTATGAAAAGCAATGCATTGTTGTAAAATAATAAGCATTGAGTTCAAATTACTAACTATTCAAGCAAACAAAGATTGCTGTCAGAAAGGAGGATGGGAAAAGTAGGCAAATCATTTCTTCAATTTAAAAAAAATAGATATGGTATATTATAACACAGAGATACTATTAACATTTGTAATACCTTAATATCATAAAATGTTAATGTCACTATGCCTTTAAGAAAGCTTTATCATTAAAACTGAGTTTCACAGAGGGTTGTCCATGTTGGTTCATATTCTTTTCTTAAAAACACACATACAATAGAGAGATAATCTAAAGTGAATTTCCCATTGGCTGTCAACATTAGCCATGTACCAAATATTATGGGGAAAACCACCAGCATTCTTGGGTCCGAGAGCGAGTTGGATTTTATATACAATAACTCAATGATGGCTGACTTGAATTTTTAACATGGTTGGGTATAGACTTGTTGGGCTCTACACACTTAAACCCATGAGATGCCATACCCTGTTCAAACATTGCTGCTTCTCAAGTCATAAATAAATGAGAGTGTGAGGGGGCGGAGCTTGGGAGCGAGACGATCTGCCGATACTATTCTACAAACTAAGACCTCTCACGGGAGCCCTTCACCCTTCAAACCGATCGATGCCTTCTATATACGCACTGAAGCAGACCAAAGTGAAACGCAAGCCAGGAGCCTACACGCCCTCGGCCTTCCCCTGCCTGGAGATTTTCCTCCTCGGGTCACGTTTGACCGACCTTCCCGCTGCCACGGGGAAGAACGCGACAGCCCCCCACAGCGCTAAAGCAGTGATGGGGAGACGAACCCAAAAACCTCAGCCAGTTACTCCGGCCGATCAGGGGGATATAGGAACACTACTACAGCGCCAAGCGCGCCCCAAGATGGCCGCCGCAGAAGGCCCAGTCCCCTCTGTTCCCTCTCCACAGCCTGTCCAGGCCAAGCCACTGGAACAGCCTGCACCTCGGAGCTCCCAACTCCCACTTACTGCCGCATCAGAAAAAGGCCTGCAGAATATGCTGCACAAATTCCAGAAAATCCTGGCAGCAGAGCTAGCACTTCTCCATACAGGTATACAGCAGGTCACAGACAGGGTGCATACAGCATAGGGTGCCATCCAGGATATGCAGAATGGAATGGCTACAATGAACAAGACAATCCTACAACTACAATCCACCCAGCAGGCATTTTCACTGCAGCTGTCAGCCCAAGAAGATAGATATAGACGGAACCACATTAAAATCCAGGGCATACCCGCAACAGTAACTGTTGAAGAAATGCCGCACTACATCAGAAGGCTCTTGGCTTCCGTACTGCTTCCTTTGGTAGCCATAAAGATCACCCTGGCAGGGATATACCGCCTCCCTACAAGGGCAACACCAACAACACCCCTGGATGGGGATGTAACCTGCGCTGCTCCTTACCACAGGAGAAGGCCCAAATCATGGCTGCCCTGAGGGGTCGGACCACACTCATGTTCGAGGACTCTAACTTATCCTTTTACCAGGACCTAACCAGAGCCACACTTCAGTGGCGCAAATCGCTGAGCCAACTTACAGGGCACCTGCGAGCCGCAGGAGTGACATATAGATGGGGGGCACCAAGATCGCTAATCGTCACCCACGACGGGACAACACACAAACTCTCCTCTGAAACTGAGGCTCCTGCACTCCTCTCCACTCTGGGCCTCATGGACTCAACACCCACTACCCCTGCCCAGACACCTACCCAGACCTGGGACCCAACCCAAGTGGTGCAGTTTGTGCCTAGAAATGGAACTGGAAACACCGCGGCTCCCGACCGAGGAGGCAAACCACGACCCCAAAAATCGTCAGCACAAGCCACAGCCCAAGCTGTTTGTTTAGGTTTATGATTTTTACATGTTCACATTGTTCTTTTACACCTCTTCCTCATTTATTGTTCTAGAGCACCAAATTACACTCCGCAACTACAGGGAGACATCTAACAATGGCGACCCCCCTGAATAGCATGACACACAGACCCACACCAGTCTCGCAACCCATGCCAATCTAAGCTAACATGAACACCCCCCTTCCCGACCCTTCCCCTGGTCAGGGATGACCACCCCTCATGAGTAAGCCCTCAATAGATCCTAACTACCACACCTACTAACAAAGGCGAGACCCTTGTAAGACAAACTCCTAGTCAATATGTCGCCACAAGCATACAACCCAATCACCTCCAGACACCATCTTGTACTGCACTACCTACAAGTCAGCAATCTTGCATATAATGCCTCTATGTCCTGCCTCTGACCACACATATGCCACTTAGCTCTCCCTAGGAAGACGCCTCACGATCTCCTTTACATTAGTCCATGTTAAAAATCCACCTCATCTCTGTTTTACTCCTAAGTAAAACAGAGATGAGGTGGATTTTTAACATGGACACTTTAATACCGTAAGGTCTAAATGCTGATTTTGAAATGAACTCTTACATTTGATATAGATATATATATATATATATATATGTTTTATCTCCATTCCGTTACAGCATTTTAAATATTTTTTATATTGTCATGAAATATGTTTTATTTATATACATTTGTATAACATACATTGTTTTAATACATTTTATGCTCAATATACATCAAATTGGTGTTTTTTTCCCTTCCTCATTGGTCCCATCTCTTTTTACCTATATTTGTTTTCATATTTTGTTTTTAATATGATTTGGTTTTAATTTTTACTATCCTTTGGTGTTTTTATTATAATAAAGATATTTATAGGTATGTAATTTTGTATTGTCCCATGGTAAACGCTGTGGCCCCATTTTGGTTTTGGGCATTTACACTATAGGATTTTAATGAACTATTCCGTCCAATATATGGAATACCCCCATGTCATTGATGACGAATGCGGAAGGAAGAGAGGGAGATACGATGTCAGAAAGCAAGGATGCATTGTAAGAATACGTTCCGACATCGGAAGCGGAAGGAGTCTGATATCGGCGCAGAAAAAAGCGCAAATATCTGACATATTTAAAGGAGGACAAGCCCTGAATGGACATAAACTTTTAAAAAGGCTACAGTCGAAATGCGTCAGTGTACCTGTGCTGTAGCGTTTATTTTCACTTGGATTTAGTTTCTGTGTATTCCTATCTGTATAATAAATCTTTTATGAAGATCTTGCATCCTGGATTCTATTAGAAAGATAAGAACAAGGAAGTCTGCAATTCTTGTATCCAGAGACAACCTTCACCAGTCCATTCAACGCTTTTAGTCTGAGCCAGCTTACATGAAGTGGCTCAGTAATATGTGAGTGAGACCGTACATCCACTGTTTATATTTTTTCACAACTACATTACCCTATGCTTGTTTCCTGTATTTAATGGCAGGATTCCATTCGTTTTAAGTGGTAATATTTTTTATTTTGTGTGCTCACCATTTTTCATAATTGTTTGTATTGCACCTTTGTAAGTGTGGTGGAGTGACCCACATATTGTATTTTTACCAATTAATATATTTCTGTTATTTTATAACATCTATTACTATTCAGCTGCCGATTTAGTTAATTCCGAGAGTGTGCGCTGAAAAGCGCTTTGAGTCCCACTGGGAGAAAGGCGCTATATAAATACTAGTTATTATTATTATAAGGTGAATTCCCCTTCAGGTGGTGCTTTTTAGAAAATAAAATATCATGCTATTTGGTTGACTTCTAATGTGTCCCAAGCAGACTTGCCAAACAGTCCTGATCTCATGGACAGGCTGACTTCTGGGCCTGGAGGTCTTTATATATTTCTCTGTCTGATAGGTTCAACGCAACATTCTGTCTAGAATATTGTACTTATTACAAATCATACCGGTTAAGATTCACGTACGTTCTTTGTCCCTTCTCCAATTTGCATATACAATTTTATAGTGATCACTCACCTTAATAAGGGTAGTGGTATGATAGGAAGAAATTGGATGCTATATGGAAAAATCTGTTCCACCACCAGATTCATGTATACAATACTGAAAACCCCAAAGCACACCAAGTTAATCTTGCAAATAAAAAAGATTTTATTAAGTAGAAATTTGATTAAAAAAAGTAACGTGCAAACAGTATATGAGACATGCAAATAAAGAATAACATATCTATCATTGAGATAAGTGCTCAATGAAATAACCCACATACCTAAAATAGCATAGGCATACTAACCCAAAGCAGGAGATACAGCAACCCCAACGTTTTGGCAAATAGCCTTCCTCAAGGAGTATCTAAATCCTTATGGTTCCTGTTCTTATTTATATCCCAGTAATCAAAGGAAAAATGTAGGGTAATAATTGCCTGATAATTAACAGGAGTGTTGGGGGGCCGGGAGTAAGACCGACAGGTCTATTCTGCAAGTAGGATGACTTCCAGGTTTCCAAAGACGTCATCGCGTATATGTGATGTCTGACATCCTCAGCGCATGACGCCATCACGCGTGTGACGTGTTGAACGCGCTTTACGCGTGTAGAACGCATTACTATAGCAACCAAAGCAATAGACTGATCAGCAAAAGGAAATCTAAATGCAATGAGGGAGAATAGAGGCAACACAAAGTCTAGTCTACATTATTTGTCAAAGGAGACCCTGTGCACATCATGTACAGTACATTGGTGTGCTAATAGAACTTACAGAAGTTCTTATGTGTATATATCCCCACCTTTAATGTATATAGTCACGGTGCATAGATCACTATATTTACATTAACACTTATTCAACCCCAGTTTAGTTATAACATTATACATAATCCTACAATGAGCATAACCCAGCACATTTAATAATCATTATCTTAAACAGAGAATCATAAAGTAGAGGAAATACATATAGGTACTTGAAATGTCATATTAATATCCAAATCAGACATAGACATATTACATATTTAAATATATATACAGTAAAAAAAAAACATATATATATATATATATATATATATATATATATATATATACACACACATATATATATAACATATATGGGGCCTCATATAAACCATAAAAAAGTATATGTAAAAAAAAAATAATAATAATAATATATATATTTATATATTATTATTATTATTATTTAAAAATAATAATATATATATTTATATATTATTATTATTATTATTTTTTTACATATACTTTGGTTTATATGAGGCCCCATATATGTTCTATATATGTGTGTGTGTATATATATATATGTTTTTTTTTTTTTACTGTATATATATAAAAATTAAAAAAACAATAATTCAAAATAGAGGAAAAGAGAAAGAAAAGTAGAAAAAAAAAAGAAGCATAAAAAAGTAAAATATCAAGTAACAGCAGATCCATGGACTCCGGGCCCTTACACCCCAGAGTTCATAGGTGTGAGTACCTGAAAAAATCCACGGAGTCCGAACAGGCATAAAGCATGTCTCGAAGTCCTGGACCCGAGAATATAAGCAAGACAAAAAATAAATAAATTGGTTCATGTAGGTCAATAATCAACCTCAATAAATTAATAAAAATACTATGTATATGTATATCGGTATATCAAAGATTTACTTATGATGTATCTCTAATGATCTCTTAATATAGAATTCCAAACAGAGATTGAACTCGGTATCTAGTAGTATCCCTAACACTTCCATATCTGCAAAATACCAACATCCAAAGTGTAAGAAGAACTAAAAAAATAAAAATAAGAACAAAACAAATAGACATTAGTACATGGTCATTGGATAAGGGTTCATCTAATCTATAGCATGAAAAATCCCATTAGCATTCATACCATTACACATGCTTTTACTAACATACACTTATCAGTTGTCATTACCATGCTAGTAAATGTGTGTTTTGTTTATTTTGCAACAAAAACTGGGGGAGTACAGCCCCACCTGCCCCTGTGGATAAGTCTTCACTGCCAAGAGAAAAAATAGGGTTTGTGAAATGGAAAATAGGAAAGCACATGAGTAGTGAACAACTCTTAATCTGGCACTTGAAGAAAAAAACATATCAGACATGGTAGAACCAAAAATTGTAACAATTAGAACTGAACAGTATTAAGAGAGCGAGAGAGAACAAACAATGTAGGGGAACACAGATTAATTATCAGAACACAATGGAAAACATAGGACAAAAAAAACCCAGAAAACAGATCATAGCTGAGGACACAATGAGCAAGTATAGTAGGTTGAAGAAGACACAAACTTAAGGACCAGGCTTCAATTACCCTGCAAAGGGAGGTAGCGGTTATGCTTTTTCTTCTCTACTAATTAGCTATAATAGTGTACACATGATAAGTTATGGGTAGCAAGAAGGCTAAAGGTCATCTGTGAAATTGATTTGCCGTCACATAACTAGTACTGTCGTGCCTTGGAAAGGAAATCAAAACGCCTAAGGGTCATCTAGCGGATTGATTTACTGTCTGATAACTACTGGTGTAACTCAGCATTGGAGAAACCAGATAGCAAACTGTCAGAGTCATTTTTAACTCTCAACAAGTTATAGCAGTCCTCTTTTAACATATTTGGAGACCAAAAATACATAACTGACAGTGTCGCATTACTTTAACAAGAGGAAATTATCCATCAGCTTGATTGACATAGGGAATATTGTAGATTGACAGTAAGGAAAAGACATCTTCTGCCAGCGGTGGACTGGTCCATCATCAGGCAGCCCTAGTGTCCAGTGACCTAAGACAGAGTAATTCAAATGCCATCTTACTACGTATGCTGATAATGTGTAATGCTGTTGCTGTACAATGTGGCCATTGAATTCCTACCACTACATTCTATTATGCCTGCATCTGTTATGTTGTTTACTTTTACTATGATCTCTGAAGTATTGAACACATTCTCATACACATAAAAAGTGTTTGTTTGTTTTTTGCGTAAATATAGCATTCATATGTTCTGTTATAAACATTGTAGCTACACAAAGTGGAGCCTGCTGAAGTATTTTATTTGTGAAGAGTGAGTCCTCCTTTTTTCATTTTTCTAAAAGTGCAGATTTCCAAAGTTATTGCCATATTTTTAGTGAACTTTGTTACTCCCCCGCCAGTTGTCATCATTGCCTTTATTTGGACATCTCAGGTATTTTGCAGATATTTTTATATTATCGATTTTTGTGCTTATATTTCATACATAAGCCTTTGTCCTTTAATTGGGGTAGCTGCTTAAATATTATTGGAATTATTGGTTAATGTAGATTGTACATGTCATCAAATCAGGCGCGGAGTTTGTGGTGTTCGTTCTGCTCATGTGTAAGTGCGTTAGGCTTAGTGATTATTTTGTAAAACGTATTTTCAAGTCCTTTGAGGTATTGAAAATGATAACTTTTCGATAACCGTGCCCATTTTCAGAAATGATCAAAATGATGACTGGGACTGGGCCTGGAAGAGTATTAGCATCATTAAAAAAATATTGAGATGCAATTGCGGGGCGGGAGATGCAATTGTAATATTTCTAATGGTCTTTACAAGATTTTCCCCTTTTTTGAAATAAGTATTCTTGGGAAAAAGAATCATAGCAAATATTTCACAGGTAATGGTACTGTTCATAAAATAGTAAGTTACACTATTCAAAATGTGATTTAAAAATCAAAGTATAGAAGGTCTGTTGTGATTAATTGATTATTTTTTTTTATTTATTATTCTTTATTTTTGTTGTGCATTGATACATTTAGGATATTGCACATGTACAAGCTATGTAAGAAGAGAGACCATAATATCCATGTAACAATACAATAATCTGCACAATTTTAAAATACTAAAAAAAACATGAGTAACTCAATGCAATAGGAGTCACATGTAAAGGAGGTGGAGCAGAACATTTGCATTGGGAGCATATTCTACAGGAGTTAGATTTGTAACAAGCTTTGTTCAGGGCCAGTGCAAGGATTCTTGCCGCCTTAGGCAACAATCAATTTTGCTGCCCCTTCATGAATGCAACTAAATTCTCGTAGCTCTTGGTTTATTCACTAAATGCTGAATTGCAAAGACAAGACATTTAGGGAAGGAGACACAATGTGTAGATATTAAAGAGGCACTATAGCCATCGAGACCACTTCAGCTCATTAAAGTGATCTGGGTACAGTGTCCCTATTGCCCTTAGTGCTGCAAAGTAAAACATTGTATTTTAGAGAATCTGCAATGTTTAAATTGCAGAACTAAGACTGACCCCAGTGGACTGGACGCGCTTTCTGGATGTTAACGGACTTTGGTCTGGTAAGTGACGCTGGATGCGCTCTGCATGAGGATGTCAAGAGTCAGCTATTTCCTC